TGAATGTCTCAAGTCATGCCGTTTCCCACGTCAGTTCTTAAAGTCTTTACACTCATTTAAACTTCCGCCTTCTCTTAAAAATCTTCGACGCATCACAAAATCTCACATTGAGTCAACAAAGTTATTGATTGAACGTTTGAGGGCAGAAACTAATGCCTTTGATGAATTAATCAACAATCTAAGTATCGTATGTCGCATAAAATTTATCAACTTTATACAAGATCTGCAAAGCAAAATATGCAAGAATTTCCACGTAACTTTGTCAAACACTCTGTCAAAGGAACAATTATGTTTTGGCTTTCCGGAAAACCCCGAAAAGTTTCTCTATAATCTATCAACAATGAAGTTAAATCAGATAGAAACAGAAGCCTTGTCACTTGGATTTAAATTTCATATCCCCAAAACACATGCCGACAGAATCGACACAGAAACTCAATTTGAGAATTTATTTGATCAAATTAAAGAGTTGTCAACATTCTGACATCCTACCCCTACCAGTACCAGAATTCAAACGACTATTACTCATTTGTACAAAAGATGTTCAGTTCCAGTTCAATGATATCATATACAAACAAACCGATGGTGTAGCGATGGGAAGTCCGTTAGGTCCTGTCCTAGCAGATATTTTCGTGGCTAACCTCGAAAGAACCAAACTCAAACGAGCGATTGATGAAATGACGTATTATTCGAGATATGTTGATGATACCTTCATCGTATGTAATAATAAACAACATGCAATAAATCTGCTAGAGTTTTTCAACGAAGCACATCCGAATATCCAGTTCACTATGGAATATGGAAAAGAAAACAAGTTCCATTTTCTCGATATCGCGATGAAAAGAAGAAAAGATGGTACAGTTCAACGTTCAGTTTATAAGAAAGACACATGGAATGGTAGTTATCTTAATTTCAATAGCTTTTGTCCAATCAGTTACAAAAAGGCACTGGTCAAAACACTGTTTCACAGAACAGAAAGAATATGTACTTCCGATACACTAGAAGAGGAAGTTATGAATGTTAAAAAATGTTTAAAGAATAACGGATACCCACTGAAATTTATTGAGAAATACGGCAAATGTGAAGTTAAAAAGCCGAAAGAAATTACAGCAAATAAAAAGCCTATTTTTATTAAACTTCAATTCAAAGGTGACGATGTCACAGGATCAATCAATATGAGACTAAAAACTGCACTGACAAGAACTTATCCTGCAGCGAAATTGATTGTCCTGTCCAAAACAACATGCTCTTTGACACAATCAAAGGTCGATAGGTATCCCTTTCATGTTACCACCAACTGTGTATACAAATTTACATGTACCTGCCAAAGCAGTTACATTGGTAGAACAGAAAGGAGAGCCTACGTCCGATTCAAAGAACATATTCCGAAAAGTTTAAGGTTAAATGGATTGAACGCATTCAACAGTGCTATCGCAAGACATCTTGATACAGGACATAAAGCTGATATACTGAAGTCCTTCAAGGTGATTAACAAACAATCAAACTCGAACCTTTTGAAATTCGCTGAAGCGTTAGCAATCAAACGCTTAAAACCAGATCTATGTATACAAAAAGAGACAGTAATAAATCTTTCTTTACCCTGGTAACAATAACCCCCACTCTTTCTATTAATTTGCTCCTATTTATTTATTTATTTATTACGTCATTATTGCAACTCTTTCTGAAATATAAATTACATCATACATAACTGATTGATTTCAATTCATATTTTCTTTATTGCCATTAATCTATTTTCATGAGTTCTAATCACTATTTCAATGTTCCAGAACTTTCCCTCTCAAACTTTATTTATTTATTCGAATCAAACATTTTACGAGCTCATTAACTTTATCTGAATCTTCGCTACATCATCATACACATGTATTGATCCTTAATCACACTCTTATATATAAATATGTCAATATCTGTAATAACGTTGAATTTCAAATATTTTAGGTTGTAAGCAGCTGATGAGAACCTAACGAAATAAAATGAATTCATATTATTCTGCACCAATCTTTGTTCTTGCTCTATTTAAGATAATAAAGGGAACTATGTGTATGAAATATGTATATAGTTTGAAATAATTTCTTGTATTTAAAATCAGTCATAAAATTAAAGTACGACAGCATGACAAGTTTTACATGCCATTAATTAAGTAATATGATAGTCAGAGTAATCATTTTCATTAACGACTAACAATCTATTTAAATCTATCCAGAATAAAAGACAATAAACATTTTGGAAAAACAGTCGATGCATTTATTTATTCATACAATTAGATATATAATAAACATTAGTAAACAACTAGTGAAGAAAAGAGTAGATAATGAAATAGGTAGATAGATATATAGAGAGGAAGTGAAAACCCCTATTTCTTTTCCATGTTCATCATATCACGCACTTTTCGTACAATCTCGTTGACTATTAAGTGAGTGTGTGTACGTGTTTGTTGATACAGATTTACTATGTTTCACGTGCATAGAACATACAGTGATTGTCACAGGACAAAACGACAATTCATTTATTTAAATATATTAAATTGTTCACTATATTTTTAGAATTTACCGGTTTACTGACAAAATTCTAAGTGACAAGGGATTTCACTAACTAAAAATTTATTTTTAAGGATTTTGTGTAATGATGCAAATGTTGTAGATCACCAGAGTTTGTGTAATACATAAATGAGGTCAACAATATAACCTTAACAAACTCATTGTGTGAAAAATAATCACGTTCACATAACTTACTAATTTCCAAAGGTAATTCCTGGAATTCTAGTGAGAGGTTGGAACCAGTGGAGTTCAGCCATGTCGACGAGTGAGACAGTATTGAAAAGATAGTTGTGCAATATCACAAGTTGACTAAAGTCAAAAGCATAAACCATTAAGACGCTACCCAAATGGTCCAAAGGTTACTTAAGTGCTTATTATGAGACTTAAAGGTCCAGAGTTCAATCCCCGATAGTGTCGTCGACACCCACCATTAATGGGATCCATACTAGGATGAAGAGACTGTCCAGTTCATCCTGGTTTCCAATGATTTCACTAGTTGAAATCATGAGTCAGTAGAAGCTAGACCACCATGGAAAACCTGGAAGCACTGGATAGCCGTTTCGTCCTAGTATGGGACTACTCGGGAGTGCGCATCCACGATCCCGCCCTCCGCGAGATTCGAACCCAAGACCTATAAGTCTCGCGCCAGGCGCTTAACCAACTAAACCACTGAGCCGGTATCCAACGGTGTTAATGTCTAACTTCAACCAATCCACGAAATCGCACCACTGCACACCAATGTGTTCATTGAGTTGATATCTCACCACAGACCTGGTTGAACTCCACTGGTAACGGCTTCTCACTAGAACTCCAGGATTATCTCTTGAATTCAGTGATTGTTGAAATAAGACCAGTTCTAAAATTTAAAAAGCATTACTTTTCGAATGTTTACTATGATATTAGTTCATTATAAAACGTATGTAATTAAACTAATCAACTACCTAGCAAAATAAAATCGACTACTAGAATAACCAATCACTACCGCTCATTAATAACCCACTTCAATCATAGAAAGGAGTGATCAGAGAAGTCATTTAAATACGAAAATAACTACAGATAAAAATCGATAGCATAAGATAGGGAATAACTAAAACAAAAGACAAGCATAGCCAGTAACAAAATGATAACCTGTTATCCATAACATGATAAAAATATTTGGATTCGGTCACATCTAAATTGATATAAAACTAGAACAAAACAATCGCCTGAATATTTGCGGTTTCAAGAAAGTATTCAGTCTAAGGTTACCTTCAGATTATGCGTTTTCTCCGTAAGCAAAATAGATAACGTTTAAAAGTGAGTTAAATTCGAATAACTACTTGTGCGAATTTAACAAATATCAATGTTACACAACACCCAATAAACCGTTAACAAACGACTACGTAAGACGATACAAAAACTGTGTATTAGGGTATTATTCCTCTTACACCGAGTTTCAATATCTTACAGACACAACTCATGAGTACATGTCATTTAGCAATTCTCTATGGAAAGATAATCAGTATTAATATCTGAACGATAACAACTAGACAGTTATTATTTAGGATAGATGGATTGTGACTAGTAGCCGGATGGGCCTAAATTTGTTTTGATTTTTTCACCGCCTCCTAAATAGAGTACATTTTACTCCAAGCGTAAAATGCGCTATCCACTAAGCTACTTTGCCCAGATAGTTACTAAACCAAACCCTTTCTAATAATGATATAAACAGTTATGTATTAAACTTAATATTTAAGGGGATGGAACCTATCAGCTATTTGATGAACATTAGCTTACATCCTAATTGATTTAACTTGTTTACAAGTTACAATTTATGTATTGAGAGATTTGAATCATATCGTTTGATAGGAAGGTCAATGATACTACCTGGTTGAACAAACCGGAGTGGGACAAAACTCGAACCTATTACCGAAAAGATGAGTACTCTAGACATTAAGCCGCCGCTCACACTCATAATTTCTATTGTGCCAAATACGAATTATATCTTTTTCAGACTACATATTTCGCAAATGTTATATTTCACAGAAATTGAAAAGATTAAAATAAAGAGATTTGTAGTGTGTTCTCGTACAGCTTCGTGATGAATTTTCATTATAAGTCTGGCATTAATAAAATGATCACTGACAACCAAGATGCATTCATCTTAGTTCAAGACACCTCAACAGTATATACATTACGCTGAGTTAAACTTAAGAGGGCTTTAAGTTTCCTGGTAAAGATGACATTATCACTCGATATCAAGAGTGTATAATATAAATGTATATATCCTTCAAAGTCTATAAAATATTTTTAAAAGGTGTATTTAACTTAAATTTAGCTACTTTTTTTTATTAGTAGACTGTATGTTGATGACGCCTGTGTCTGTCTTAAATACTAACCTTCGTATAAAAATTTTTAATTGAATGGATATACTTAACATAATGAATTTTTCAAGATGATAACACTTACACGACGACCTTCATCGGTATAGCATAATTCACCGTCGATTTTGTATACATCGGCTGGGCACCATTGACTACGACCATCACAATATTCCGGTAAATCACAAGTACCAGATTCATTACGACAGATAGTTCCGGAAGGTTTTAATTTACAATAAAAAGATGCTGATTGATTTACATTTTCCAGGGAATTTTTTTTAATAATATCACAACATGGACCACCAGCACACTGAGAATTACCACGTAATCGACAACGTACTGGGTCACAACAGGCTTGCCACTTTTCTGGACATGAAGTTCTAAAGTATAGTTTATTTTAAGAAAGTTAAGAAGAGTGATACAAATTGATGTAAAATAACAAAATTAATTTCATGAATTTATGCATATTGAAGAAATAATGCATGTGAGCTAAAATGGATTAACGTCATCTGGGGTACAACTACGTTACGTTCTGCGGTTGTTCTAGTACATACGGATATATACGCTTTTTATACTGGGACCCGATCAGGTAGTGAGTATTGAAACTAGAAATGAATGGGATGCTCCATATGAAGAAGGAATCTATTTTGCATACAACTCACTATTGTATATATGTATATATATATATATATATATATATATATATATATATATATGAGTTATTCGCGGGAACATTCACCCTCTGTCTACTTTTCATATGACCGACTGATAAACTTTAGATTATCACCATTTCTTAAACTTTAACAATTAAAAAATAATGGTTGACATTTTTTTTAAGTTCAGTTATTATATTATGCTTATACTGACAATTTTATTGGTTTTCTAAAAGTGTCATTTACCGTGATAAATAACATCAAACACTTTATTTTACCGGCGGATTTTTATAAATTTCCGGATTTCATCAGATAATCTACGTAGGCAGATATTTATAAATTTGCCTTCACTGAAGAAAATCGAAATAACTGATTCTCATCCAGTAACTATAGTGCAAATCGAAAAACTGTTAAAGACGACGGATAGTAAGCTTTAGTGGTATACATAAGTCACGAAGAATTATTAACAGGCTTCAATGAAAATAATTGTCGTGATTAGTTTTATGACATGATTCAGTAAACCAAAAAAATAAGTAGGAGTGAATTAAATTCACGTATTTAGAAAAGTAGCGTTTGGTTTGGATAAGCCTATGGAGGTTCCAAAAGAGATCTACTTTTAAAAAAAAATACATTCTTACATATTTTAAATTAAGTTATACAATGGTAATATAAAAAAATAATTGTTCCCTATTATGTGCAGAAGGTAATGATAACTGCATTAAAATCGATTTTGTGTAATATTTACAATTAACGATTGGTTTCACTGACGAATTGATAGCATGACGACATGACCTCTACTGGGTCCCTCCTATTAGCAGACTGTTTCTTGGATAACTTAGAAAACATTATTATCTTGAAAACGAAATTATTCTAAAGTCTATCAATTCATAACTATAATTCAAATGTCATACACAGGTAAGGCTTTAAATCTTTATTTTATATTAAATAGTTGAATGGTATTAATTTCATTTTCCAAAATAATCTTGATTCGACTAGACTATAAACAATAACATTTGATTGATAGATAGACAGAGCTAGCAACAAAATAAACTGATATAAAAATGTATTCACTAAGAGAATTCCCAAACTCTTGTACACTGATAAAGGTTTATTGTTTTGGTTTAATCCTATCGCCTCAATAAGAAATTACCTTCATATTATTGCCGAAATACAAGTAGATTATTTTTAAAATTGGTTGGGTGAGTCATTCTGTTGAAGGTAAATTCACACACAGGGTTAATATTTGATTTAAAAAAATACATACACAAATGTCGATAGTACATTAATAACATACAAGTCAAAACGATTAAGCATCTGACTATGATTAATGATGAATTTTCATTCTCTATCTGTTTTCTTCTATACTGTTAATCTTACATATACAGCAGAATATGCATACACAAGGATAGCCATTGGGATGATGTTTACACTCTGTCGAAACAAATGATACAACTAATATCATCACGACCAACTGTCCAAACCTGGAGAAAATTGCACTACGTTCATAAAGTATTCTGATAACTGTATATTCGGTAATGTGGCTAGTAATGGGATCTAGAACGTGTGTTCTGTCACATTTTGCACCCCTCGGTTTGATGCATATTAAATTTAATGATGATATCCTCAATGAGATCCGATAGTATTCCTTATCACTTCCATCTACAATTCGTTATCTACTAAGCTGCTGACTGAGTTCAAAACCTGTTTGAAATCTTGATCAATAGTATGTATTGTAAACACAAAGTTAATGATTTGTCAAGACGTTGCAACCCTTAAATTATTAAGATACTTGGATTTGTGTTAGATATTTTCAATAACACTTAGCATATGTAATAAACTTAACCTTGGTAAGATTTTTTCTATAAAAAGGATTAATTCTATTAAAAACAAAGAAATGTAGGAAATTGAAGCTAGACCACCATGGAAAATTGGGAAGCACTGAAGTACTGATGGTCTAGCTTCAACTGACTCATGATCTCTACCACTGAAACTACTATAATATCCACAAAAACGCTTCTAATGTGAAATTGTTGGGAAGTAGACAGTGACGAGCGAAAATGAGAATTAAGAAAACTGAGACAATACTAATTCAAATAAGTGAGTTAAATTATTTTCCGTCCCAAATCTTGCTCATCACTATCGATTGTTTTTTATCTGTCTATCCTTTTTCGTTTCTTTTCTTGCTCATCATAGGTTAGGACTCTGGTTTGTCACTAAAGTCAGTCGTTTCAAAGACAACACTCAATTATGACTATCATTTAGATAGATTGGTAGACAGACAAACAAGAAGAAAAGTGTATCGATTTCAAAATGTCACATGTTTCATTACATTGTAGACTAGTAGTGTTGACGTCTAGGTAACGAAACATTTCAAGTTTCTATGGTGATGACTCTTAGAAAAGTAACTTCGCTAAAGGCTTCTCGTGGAATTTGTATCGTGCATAAAAAACTTCTAAAACTCACTAAATATCACGAATTCACATCTTTTATTCTTAGTTAATCTTTTCCGTTCACTGTGATATTGATGGAAAATTAATATCAGTTGTGTTAAAAAGTGAATACGGATAATTACAGGGATTATACATGGTGACTATTCTACGAATGATAGGCATTACTAAAAGACCAAATAATTGATCGGTGGATAAATCAAGTATATTGAATTGTTGGCTGAAATGTGTTTCACACTCGCCATTTATTCCATTTCCCATTGGATTACTCATTGGTGTCTGAAGTTTTGTCAGGCTATATAAATAAATAATCCAACAATAAAATCCAATGAAGTTCACTCTAAGCAATAATTGCTACATTCCTTTGCAGTATGGATTATTAAAATTAATCGAATTACTATTTTGATTTCTTTAATATAAATTATTTTTCTATCCAATTATGAGTGATGATATTTTAGCTAATATATACACAGACATGCACGTTCCTACACTGTTCATCGATTTGAACAATTTACATAAACAAAAGGGGAACAGATTAAACTATTGAGTCATTTAAAGTATACTAGAGTTTAAAACAATTCAGTCCTTCAGGTTTCTTCTTATTTATTTGTTGTTGGATGGTTTGAAGTGCTAAACACATAGTGGCCTTCATTGACCAAGTTGAATAGAACATCTGTAATGATTGTCAAACTACCGTTTACCTTGACTAACAACGTTTGATGGTGTGGAAGTAGGTTTAAAGAAGGTTAGGGGAGGCCATATCAAGACTTGGTATCACTCCGTAAAGTCAGTGATGGCTAAACTGAGTTATGCTGGTACGTAAAGACTACCTTGATTGGAGTGTGCGTGAATTAACTCTTTTAGAAACTCAACTCGCTATGCTGATTCGATGTGACGAATTGAACATGTGAATATATGTGCCAAGTTTTACCTTTATTAAGACTGATTAATGTATCTGCATTAAATAACAATATAGATAATTTTTTACGAAATGAAAAAAACAATAATATAAAAAATGACCTGGCTTAACTTACTGTGTACCACAATCACATTCTTCACCAGGATCCAACACCCCATTTCCACATAATCCATTTGCATATTTCTCAACAGATGAGGCAGAATGACGTTGTCTTATAGTTAATACACGACTAACTGGAGTTCGTTTCGCTTCACTTTGCCAATCATAAATATGTACAACACTTGGAATACTTATATTATTATTATCATTATTGTTATTCTTTCTATGTGTAGATGTCTTAGAGTTTGGTACGAAAGAATTAATTGTTACACTCCCACTAGCAGGCAAATCATGTAAACAAACACCCATTCCATGGTTTAACAGACCTGGTAAATCTCTTATAGAACATGGTGACCATTTCATAACTGTTGTGCCAAATCTTTGAGGTGAGAAGCGAAAAAAAAATAATGTTGAGTGATATCATAAATTGGAGAGATTTATTTTTACGTAATCCAGTCTGATGGGAAAAATATGTAAACAACAGATTCAGGAGTGGAGTGGCTGTAACTGAGTAAATGAGAGATTCACACTATGTTTGGACATAATATTCTAGGTAGAGGTGGTGAATGGGTTGTTGAGACCTTGCATTACCGTCGGCGAAGTTGGAGGGAATATGAGTAACATATAGCTGATCACTGCCTACCTCGACGTCTATTACTGATTATTGTAGGGGTACATGTAAAGAACGAAGAAGGCAGTTTAACTGGGAAATGGAATCAATCGATGAAGTCGGTGACTGTTAATCTGAGCTGTAATGGCAGATAAACATTGGATTGTTGAGGATAGCGTGAAAATCATGATCAGTGGTAGTAAACTTAGAGTGAAATGAATTAAAATAAGCAAATCGACATAGATAACTTCGTTCGACATTTCCACCAAGATCCTAATTTTGGACACGTTTAAGAGGTGGATTTCAATCGATAAACTTAGATTTGGATGATTATTAACTACTAGCAACCTGTCACATATATAAAAATCTGTATTACAAATAGAATTTGTAAAAATGAAGCCAATCACAAGTCAACGTAAACATGTATCGGTAGGGTTTTAGCAAAACTATAACAACCCAATAAAAATTACGAAGGCCGGATACAATGTAACAATAATAAATGTCATATTTAAATGACATTTTCTGAAAAATCGATTACTGTAGTAACAATAGTAACATACAACTTAATACAAGACGTTGCGTAATTCCATAAATGTGAACAAAAGTTGATGATAGATAAGTACAGAATAGGTCATGATATAACCGGATCAAAAGTCAAAATTACATTCTTTTACTCATTATGATTTTTGTTCAACGTTACTTCCGTTTTAATTAAATATGAAGATTACTCAGTGTAGTATTTGTTTCTGTTTTCTCGTATGACATTTCATTCTGTATAACATACGACATTTTTGCAATAAAAAGTGACATGAACTATGAATCAGCATGACATATAGCATATGATTTGTTATAACAGCGAGTATTTTTCATATATGTGATTTCATCCTAATTATTAATCAAAATGGGTGTACAAACCAATATATAGATTAGTGTATTTTCGACTAGGGTCGTCGTCGCGTTTGAGGCTAAAAAATTCATTTGTACCAGTCTTCTTGTTTTAACTTTCGCGTCGTAATAGGTGATTCCGATATAATAATCAGCGACGACCAGAGATAACAAGTAGCGTTCAATCAGAAGACGTATCAGGTACAATATTCATTCATTTATCTGCGAGATCATTTATTTAAAATCCTTTGCCTCTATTATAATCAATTTTTCAGAAAATTCAAATGGATACGATATTCAATTGTGATATCTTACACAACTTCGCATGATTTCTATAATCCAAGCTTAGGTATATAAATTCATGTTTGAATCAATCAGAAATTAATTTTAGAGGTATAGGGTTTTGCAGACTGTTGAGTTACAATGAAATAATGAGCCAATTAATGTTCGATTCCTGAGTGGGAAGTCGTAAATGTGAACTACTGAGGAATCCTATACCAGGACGGAGCGGCAATCCGGTGTTTCTGGATTTTCAATGGTAATGTAATATTGATCGACACAAGGTTTCTTTGAAACTGAACAATCTCCATAACCATATATTTACATATTGTCAAGTGGATCTCGAAGTGAAAACTATTAACAATTTGTTCATAACGAACAACAAAAAGCAACTTCAGGATGAGCGTAATGACTAATGGTGGTTGTGTTCTTAGTTTCAATAAACACCTCTAAATTCCTACTCTTGAATAATATATCGGCCTGATGTTCGTTTATTTCCAGATACATTACAATCGATATCAGTCCATGATAAAAAGAATATATCCTCGAAAGTGTCTCTATCTAGCAAATGATCAAAATGAACTAATAATGAGTTGATATATTTCACAAAGGAACTATCAAATCGAAGCAAATAACACCTTTAGCGTTATTTATTTCGCCAAAAACATAAACCGAACTTAGCCAATACAAAGAATGTTTGTAATCTCTCTCTCATGATCATAATCATAGACAATGTTGTCAGAAAAAGTAACCTTGGAAACCACGTGATACTTACATGTTTGTGAAAATATGATTATTATGACTTAAGAGCGTCGTAATAGGTAAACAATTACAACCAACCATCATTTAGGCATTCATATTTAGACTTCATATGTGGACATGCTAATAGTGAATTTGGAAAGCACACACATGCATAAGTAAGGGTCTATAAGAAATTTCTTTCTTTTTCTCTGAAGATAACAAGAAGGGACGATATTTTTGTGGTGGTATAAAAACCTAAGATATACTAAGTTGTCTAGTAAGACAGTTATTCATTCGAACAACCAAATAAGTCGATGGACATTAAGGAGGAAATCAAATACAATATGAAAACAAATATGTCTGTGATCTTGACAAGAAATAGCGCAATGTAAATAAAACGCAAATCTGTAAACAAAACACGTTATTAAGAAAAGTTGACAGTTTATAATTATGTCAAAATACTGATTTTTAATTCCTGTAAATTAACTTATCACAGAAAAAAAAATCAACGAAAAAGTCTTCTGAGACAATAATACGAAAGACAGTGACAACGATCAGCATAGTGTTGACACTTTGAATTGTTGACTTGCGAATCTTTCAAGTAGCAAGGTTGTGTAATTTCCTATTGTTTATATTCAGGACTTCCATTAACCAATTTCTACATTGTCATATGGGTTGTTTGAGAACTCAGTACTATTGCTTTCGTTTATCAGACGTTATCAGTTAGGCTACTAAGCTCAGATAGTCACAAACTGTTTTGTATATTAAAAACGAGACATTACACACCCTTACATATAAATTCATACCCAACGAACCAGTTAGTAGACTCAGTAGCCTAGTGGATAACGCGTTGATGTTTGCAGACGTAAGTAGTGGTTTCAAGTTACAATATGAACATCGGCGCTGACAAACAGACATGGGCACGACGAGACAAAATTGGTGGAAATAATGTAGTAGCAATGATAAAATGAAAGATAAGCCTTGAGAGTATGACTTGAAAAGACATGGTGAAAAGTATTTATGATGGGATACTGGAATTCGAAATGGAAAGAAAGATAAGGGCTGAATGGTATCTGTTCTATCGCTAGCGATTTTTGAGCCATATCAGACGAAGTTTTCAACAACCGACAACAGCTGTCAAGCGGATGAACTTCAATTGCAATTTATTAATCAAAAATAGACAAATATAATTCACCAATGAATAGTACTTACTCTACACCAGTAGCCATTATACAACCTTGACATTCACATTCTTCAGTATCATGTCTTAAACCGAAATTATGTCCAAGTTCATGTGCGATAGTGCGAGCTGTTTCAATAATATCAAGTGTTGGTGATACCTAAATAAATACATACAACAACAACGAAAAATAAGCAGATAAAATATCCATATTTTTATTTCTAGATAAAATATTTTATTTATTTACTTTTGGTCACAATCAACACAATTGCCAGTTCTTTTTTGTTTTGCAAACATATTATCATGATAGAACTTTCAAGGTTCTAATAAGAAGCTGTAAACTGTGAAGAAATTAAAACTCTATAATTAAGTGGAGGAGTAGTTAATTGACTATGAAATCGGTTAGTTAACTCTTCTTTAGAAGTATTGCGATGGTTGAGAGATTAAAAAATTATGGGTACAATCTCTTATAAGATTGTGAGCTTTACCAAAGTAAACTAAAACAGCTTCATTCTTTTTATAATGAGAACATTATCTCTAAGCTGCATAAAATCTCCTTGAAAAAGTAAGGCAATAAATAAAGGCAATTTAAGTGATTTTGATAAGTTTATATTATAATGTAATTGATCTAAAAAGATTTTGGAATTTCGCAGTCTACATCATGCATCTACATTCTTTAGCGACCCGTTGAAAATCAAGAAGCTCTTTCGTGGGATTTTAGATACTCATTGCTGAAGAGTCTTGTACTAAGACGAAACAACTTTTCAATATTTCCTCATTTTCAAGGGTTGTCTAACTATGATCATTTCGTGTGATTCAAATTACAAAATGTTCAAATACATACATATAAATACTACAGACCATATGATGAGAATGAGTCATTGAAAGAAGGTCGAAGGCATAAAATAACCTAGTTGTAAGGATTAGTGAACTTGTTAATCAATTGAAAGCATCACGATAGATCATCATGTCTAATAACAGCAGCAAATACCAGTACATTATATGACTCAGTCAGCAAACATGACTAATATGATAACCAACTAATGAACCGAAAATTCAGAGAATTACTGAGTTAATAAATTATTAATTAAACAATTATTGAAAGAATAATGAAAAATTTTGTTCAAACTTACTCTACTGTAACCAACACAACGCGAATAAATACACATGGTCATATGATTAGCTTTTCCACGTGTTCGTGAGCCTTGTTCTTTTGTACCTCTATGTTGTCAGGTCATTTTTTGTTTGTATAAGGAAAAGAAACCAGAAATGAAAAGTTTTTTAAAGGAAAAATGTGAATTCACGTCAAAGTTTAAACAAATAAGTTAACTCGTATTTATATTATTAGATTGTAAAGAGATATAACAACAACATGTGTCATAGATGACACATTAGTTTGGGCGGTTTCTAATTAATCAATAGATAAAACTCCTCGTACGTTGAAGTTATGCAAAGTGGTTGTAGTCATTATCGTTTAGGCATTAATTACTATTGTACTACACGACAATGGACACGAAGAATATACTTATTGTAAGAAGTTACAAAGTATTTAATTAATACATTATACATTTGTATCATTCAGTGTGTTCTGTTATGTGAACTGTCTTCTCATCTGGTCTTCAAGTGTTCTGCCAACGCCATGCTTTCGCCGCTCCGAAACTCTTCACTTCATCTGATAATTATAACAACTTCGACATTCTGTTTCGCTACACAATACTTACAAACAGTCTTGTGACTAGCGTCCACTACACTATTACCATAATGGGATTTAGTATTAGTAGTAATAATAATGATAATAGCATTGGACGATAGTTTCATTAGCATCTTACTGACACATATTCACTTCGGCAAACTTTATGTACACTTATTTAGGCTGAATAAAACAGGTATGAACGTGTGTTTATTTTGTTCAATAATCAATAACAATTGTATTTTAAGTTGTAATAAGGTCAAATGGTTATTTGTTTAACCAGTAATGTGTGATGTTAATTAGATTGAATATTGATTCTCATCATTCACTAAAAAAGAACTGATTAGTTGAGATAAATTTGTATTATTTAAATAAGGAGGGTTTGATGACTGACATTGTATCTGAATAAGATTAAATTATGGATAATTTCTAAATTTATTTAGTATCTGAACACATAAATATTGGAACAAGAGAGCGCCAATATATATGCGACACACAAAACAATGAGAATTCGAAGAGAAATAGAAAAAAAAACTAAGGGGCGCGCAAAAACAAAGAGAACAATAACGAAGAGATTGGTGTAAGGTAGTGTGGTAGTAATGAGGGAACGGAAAGGTACAATCAGAGGAAATCTTTCAGGTAAGGGAGACACAACCACTTTTTATAAAGAAAGTAAAAGAAGGTTACAGCAGGATCGCCACTGGCTTCTATTCTGAACCATATCTGATAACGTCTCTAGCCACTGTGTCACACCATCTCTTGGACCCCAGCCAGATAGTCGTGAAGGACCAACACAAGCCAGTCCTTTGCAGCTTTCTTTCATACCACGACACCATGTCATGCACTGACCACCTCCCCGCTTCTTCCAACCAGTCCCAGAGTCGGCAAATAATGCGCGACGTGGAATTCTCTGGGACGACATTCGTAGAACATGTCCAAGCCACCGAAGTCGGTGTTTCAAGATGGTGACACCAATTGCATTATCATCTCTGTGCCCGAACACACGATGCCGAACTTCTGCATTACTAACATGGTGTTGCCACTGGATGTCAGCAAGCCTTCAGAGACAACGATGATCGAACACAGAGAGTCGTCTAACGTCCTCAACTCGGAGAGACCAGGTTTCACAAGCATAGAGCAAAACTGCTCTCACCGACGCGTTGTAGATCCGACCGTTAACAGCCAGACTAACATCACGGAGGCGTCAAAGATGGCCTAGATTGGCATAAGCCGCTCTGGCTTTCACTATACGTGCATTGATCTCATCACTCACGCCACCACCAGCATTTATGCAGCTACCAAGATACACGAACTTCTCGACTACTTCTATCTGCTCACCATCCAGAGTGAGTACAGAATAAGAATCCTCCCAGTCTTGTAGAAGTACTTTGCATTTCGAAGGTGTAAAGCACATATCATACCTACGGACACTGATTGCTAACTGATTAAGTGCGGATTGCATGTCTTGGGCATTATCTCACAGTAAGACAATATCGTCCACATACTCAAGGTCGAGAAGTCTTTCTCCACCATTACTTACATCCATCAGAGCTGTTTCCAGAATGTCATCGATGACAAGGTTGAGGAGGAATGGTGTGATTGGGCAACCCTGCCTAACCCCACTGCTCGAATGGAACAATGGAGAGAGGTGGTTGTATGCCCTCACTCTGCCTGGGGTGTTTGTATATAGGGCTTTTAGGATGTTATTAAACTTCTCAGGCACACCTTTCTTCAATAAACAATCCCAGAGAACAGTCCTGTCCAACGAATCGAAGGCAGCCCTGATGTCAAGAAACACTACGATTGTTGGCCATTGATAAGTATGGCGGTGTTCTAACATTTGGCGGAGGGTGAAGATATGATCAATACATCCTCGACCAGAACGAAACCCAGCCTGCTCCTCACGAGTCAATCTTCCTCGGGTTTTGAACAACCTACGAGGTATGACGGAAGCCAATAGCTTGGACGCAAACGAAAGTAGACTTATCCCCCGATAGTTGTTACAGGAACGACGTGACCCTTTTTTAAAGATAGGGACAACTATCGACTCATTCCATGACTTTGGTACACTCTCTAGTTCCCAGACCTTTGTAAACAACACAGTCAGTTCCTCAGTCAGAAAGTCACCACCATCTTTAAAAAGAGCCGGAGGTAAGTCATCTGGGCCAGTTGATTTGTAACGCTTCAAGAGTTGGAGTTCCTTGCGGACTTCCTCCTCGTTTGGTGGATCAGTCGTCACCGGCCATGGAGGGCAGGACAGTCTGACCGATGTTGCCGGAGCAGCAGGCCAGTTGAACTGCCCTTCGAAAAATTCTGCCCATCGTCCAAGACGTCGATGGATGTTAGTGATTGGCATCCCATCACCCTTGCAGATTGTTTCACTCACACCAGACTTCTTGTTGCCAGTGGCTCGGATGAGTTGGAAGAGCTTCCGGTAGTTACCAGATGCAGCTGCTGCTTCCAGCTCATAAGCACGCTCCGACCACCAGGCTTCTCGGTCCTTACGCAAGCTTTGCCCAATTTCCTTACGTAACAACCTTCGTTTATGGTCAAACTCACGGTCACCCGGAGTAGACCGATGGGCTTCAATGAGTTGTAAGGAACCTGCAGAAACCCAGTGCTTATAAACGGGACGTTTCGCGAACCCACACCTGACTGTACCCGTCATTTTCATGGCGTCATGCAATTGCAACCAATGCTCATCTATACTTTTCGATGGAATGGTGGCTAGCCTAGAAGCTAGCTCGGTTCGATACCTACTTGCAACCGAAGTTGCAACCAACTTGCTGACATCAATCCGTTGGTGGCGGTCACTTCGTTGGCCACTGAAAAGTAAGGTAAGTTTGACGCAGACCAGGGCATGATCAGAGTCCAGATAGGTACTCCAAAAGGAGCGGCAGTCTTGTACACAACCACGCCAGCGGTAGCTGATCGCGATGTGATCAATCTGAGTCCAGGCTTGAGATGCAGAGGGAGGACGCCAGGTGGCACATCGGCGATGACTGTGCCGAAAGTTAGTGCTAGCCAGAAACAGGTTGTGGTATGGGCACAGTTGCAGTGGACGGTCCCCGTTATCTGACCTGCGACCAACGAGTCCCCATCGGCCACCTAAACGACTCTCTTCAGTGCCTAGATGCCCGAACTGAGCATTCAAGTCTCTGGCCAGTATTACAATATCTGTCGAACGCACTTTCTGGAGAAGAACAGATAACTGGTGGTAGAACATCCTTGATTGCATCCGGGCTGCAATCTGTCGGGGCATAGGCGGAGATGACGAAAAGACATCGTTTCTCACGCCGATTTCTTCTCACTTTGATGGAACTCTCTAATCTAACAGCACATAACCGACTGTTATCGGGGATCCAATCGATTAGTGCTCCCTCAGCTCTAGCGCTTAGTGCGACACCAACGCCAGCGAGTCCAGACGAAGATGCCACAGTATCCCCGGATAAGCGCACGTAAAATAAGCTTTTTGAAGTGACAGATGGGGAACGAATTTGTAGTACTTCACCAGAGTTTTGAATACGGGTCTCGGATAGACAGCAGACATCGATATTAAAACTTTCCAAAGACATAGCCAGCCCTATCTGTTGTCCAACCTGCATAAGTGTGCGAACGTTGAAGTTAGCCAGTTTGAATAGTGCACGTGATTTCAGAAAAACTGCTTCAGCACTCATAATCAGTAGAAACATACAATTTTCAACCGGACAGTGACTTGAGAACGTTTAGATACAGTCGAATTTCCACCAAAGACGAGCCGCTGTATAAGTATAAAAGAGGATGAATAATGTGGAAAATAATAATAATAATAATAATAATAATAATAATAATAATAATAATAATAATAATAATAATAATAATAATAATAATAGTGATAATAATAATAATGACGATAATAGTAATGATAATAATTTGAATCATTTGACTGTTTTTCGAAGCGAGAAAAGTAGTTTCCATAGCTATAGAGAGTTCATCATTTGCGTGTGGGCTGTGATACTGCCCGGGTGCCCAGGCCGAAGCATATTTACTTCGCATAATTGAAATATACGATTCACACAGCGGAGGCTGATATTTGTGTTCTGGACTGAGCGGGCTAGGCTAGGCAAGAAGTTACTAATACAGAGGACCAATAAGTATTCAGAGTTGACGCAAGACTGCTAGTGCTGGTTGACGTGTCATTGATTTAGCACAGAGACAAAGTCATATAAATCGGTATACTGATTAGAAGTTTCATCACATGATAATTGACAGGGCCATAGGCCATAGGACATAACAGAAATTTTGTATTCAGTCTAGAAAGCATATTTAAGGAATGTATAACTCAGAGACATCTGTTAAATGAATAATTTTTACGGAAGTATTTAAACCTTATCATTTTTACTAATATCAAGTCGTATGGGATTTCGAAAAGCTTATCAAAATGAGTGGTTAGTTTAAAAGTATTATCACATTATAATTATTTGAATAATACGACATAATGGTCAAGTGGTTCGAAAGTGTAATCGACGTTCAGCTATTGTAATGTCAGTTTGGAACACAAGTCATTAACTATGGTGCACGAAATCGGAAGTCCTATTTGATTTCATAAAATAGTATGTCAAAGTTTACATTTTTTATTCTAGACAACATCTACTGATTAAACGAGTCGAATAGAAGTATTTTTTACAGGTACTTATAATTAGCAACAATAATAATAATGTACTGTAGTGTTTGTTGTTTAGTCTGTCTTACAATAAAATAGTTCATTTCAGATAGATATATGTAAGTATGATTGGATTTTTAGAAATAAATGCTAAAATTTCGAATAATAATAATAATAATAATAATAATAATAATAATAATAATAATAGGTGTTACTGAAAACACACTACTGAGATGACTCATCTGTACAGATAAAGCTTTAATGAACAAAAATATTCACATATAAATTGGTTGATAAAAGTATGCATACATGTGATGAAACATTACATTACCATTTGGATATTAGAATTAATCATGTCACAGTAGTAACTACTATTTATCAATACATCAGATTGATCTGTATAAAACTATAAGCAAAGATGGATAGTAGTTAGTGGTGGAATCCAGTATGCGCGTCTCGTCTTACCTGGGGCTCTTCAGATGGATGCACCTGCATCCCAAAGTTGATATTCACTCCTGGACTCGAACCCAGAACCGTTCGCTTCAGACACCATCGCCTTATCCACTTAGCTACCAAGTCCTGACAACCAATTGTTTGTGTAATGGGGATGCAGGTACATCCAGCTGACGAGCCCCAAGTGGGATGAAACACGCATCCTGGATCCCGCTGCTAGCCACCATCCATGTTTATTTATAATGCTTGTGACTTAAGGCAATATTGAGGCAATCGGCACAGGATGCACAAATGCCAATAAGAGACTGGTCAATTGCGGTCTTAAACATCAATGGGAAGATTCAAACAAACAATACCAAATGTGCAAAACTAGTTTTCAATGACTAACAGATATGGTCAAAATTTTTTTAGATTAGGGTGGAATTTTCCGTTCAGATTTATTCAATCCTACGAATAGAAAAAGACGTTACAGATCCTGGTGAATGTATGAGCTTCAAGTAATTCGAGCGATAATTTTAATTAATTATTAGAGATTTTCGTGTGAGATGACTGAGAATCTGTCACAATGACTTAGATGTATGAATTAGTAGTTTTCTCTTAGATTTCGAGCTTTGAAACCATTTTATATTTGTTTTATTAAACAAATCCACTCTTCTTTCTAACACTATATTGTAAATACTTAGTCTCTTTTACTACTAGTGATATTGTAACTGTAATGAACGAGAACACAACCAATGGATTTTATTACAAAATTACAGAATATCCCGGTAGAATGTAAGAACCATATATAAAATACTTCACTTGTAAATTGTTCACACTTATGTCTGTCGAAACAAGTAGCATACACTACATAACTAATTCACCTACTCTGGAATTGGTCATGATAATTTCATCTAGTTATTATGACAAAGTGATGGAAACTTGAACTGACGTACATATGTGTCAGGTTCTACATTGCCTATTGATTGATTGGCTGACTAACTGATATTTTACATAAATATTTAATAATCATTGCATTGATCACCATATGAAACAGTAACAAAAAAACAACTAGATGTTAGAATACTAACTTACAATAGAGCATGCAAGCAATCATGACGCACATTAGCATACATTCGTTTAAATTGAGCTAATGCAGTGAGCAGATGATGTTCTTCAACTTTTAAACTAACACGATCTTGTTCCCAAATTTCTAAACGAACAATAACTGTTACAATGTTGAATGGAGCAAACAACTGGAATCGAGAAAAACAAGCAAGAAATTATTGGAAAAGAAAATAATTAACCATACGATATGCGTGTACAAGCATTAGTCGGATAAATCTTATGTTGTCCATCACAAATTGAGTATAGGTTTATGTATTCGGTCACGTACTTAGTTTGAGATTTATTATTATTATTATAAGCTTTATTCAAAATTACATTATTGGTACAATATAGAATTCTCAGCACAAAGTATTTAAACAAGTTTCCGTTTCTTTCTTCTTGGTTGATCCTGACGATAAATATTGAGTGATCGCCAGTTAGATGTTAGCAGTCCAGTAAATGAACATCTGAATAATGTATATTCTTTTCTCTGCTTATTGCCAGCGACCACATTATCTCTTATTATGCTTTTGTAACTTTGACAACGAAAGGTTGTACACTTTTCAGAAATGCACCAGGATAGCTTATGCGATTAATAAACATAATGATATATTAAAACAAACAAAAATAGATAACTTGTTGAAATATCTAGATGGCAGGAACAGGTAGCCCAGATGCTCAAGCAGGCCGCCTTGAGATACTCTGACTGCCTAGAAGTAGATGAAGAGGGGAGTGTAAATAAAAGACCTATCATTGAATTACTACTTATGATATAAATTACTAGATCACTACCCGAGTGCTTTAATCGACAAAGGACTATTTTTAAAATGAACTAACTATGGTAGGTCATTAAGTAATCAAATATATGTTTATTAGACTCATATATATTGGATAAAAGATAGATGTATCACTATAAGGTTCAAAGCAAATTACATGGGGTAAGATTCGAGATTATAACTGATTGGTTCAATAATGAATAGTTCTAAGAATTGGTTTTGTAGTGAACGAAAAAAAGGCGAGGACGGCTAAATGCATTTTAATACAAAATTACAGCGTATCCCAGTAGAACAAAAGAACCATACATAACATACTACATTTACAAATATTCCATCAACTATTCTTTACATTCTGTATGATTCTTCCAATTCACAATTCCTTTCTAACTCCGTTTCGGTTTTATTCACTTCGATCGTCTTAGCTTTCTGCTGCCATGCGTCTCACTTCCAAATGGTGTTACATACTACTTATATCTGTCGACACCAGTAGCGTACACCACAATTTATGTATTATTTTAAGTGATATTTAACTGATTTCGTATTCAAATAATAAACAGAATAATTAAACAAACTCAACTGAAAAAATCTGTGTTATCTATTTAATGTCGCAATACTAATATTGATAAGATAAATCCGATAACGACAAAACTATTTATTTGGAGTACTCTTAATGAACGAATTGTGATGATGAAATGATTTCGTTTAATACAATTTATTCTAGCATTAAAAAAATAAGAAAAACAATTATGCAAAATGAAATTATTGCATCTAGACGATCTAAGTTGTGGGTGTATATTGAGAGAACAATATGTGTATTGTGCATCTAACCTTAACATTGCCAATAGTATGTAATCATCATACATAAGAAATACTTTAAAGATACTATCCCAATACTTATTTATCTAAAGTCAAACCCAAGACACGAACTATTTTCAGTTTGAAAATTATTTGAACCAAATGTTAAAAGATGAAACAAAACACTACATACATCTTGTGGTCAAAAATTGATTATTGAATTAGCTATACATAACAACCGGTTAACATAAACTTCATTATCCAGAAAAGAAACAAGGAATGTAGACAAAAATCGTCTGAATTTCCTGTAACAAACTCGAACTCAAGTGAATAACAAGCCGTTTTTTTATTTTAATGAACTGATTGTGTGAAAAGTGGGGGAAAAGTAGATAATAAAACATTTAAATATCGTTTACAAGAAAAAAGCATTAATGTATTCTGAAATTAATGAAAAGCACTTCAGAGCATTTGTCAAAATGAAATACAGAAATAAATCGATAAGGAACAACGCATAAAATTTCCCTTCTAAGTTTACAGTCTAATTTTAAGTAAAAATTAAACTATACAAATTACATAAGTTTTTTTTTACTTGAAATGTCAACTTGCATTGAAGCTGAAGTGAAACTTATGTATTGTTATTATGTTTTGTTGTTTCATTTCGATAACAAGTTGAAATAAACCGAGAATGAATTAAAGTTTTTATGAATAAATGGTGTATGAAACAATTATCGGTCACCAGCTAACATGGGACTGAATCTCCTGACGTTGCTCCAGTACCTTGTGGACCAGATCTTTAAGTCGAAGCCTCCGGGTGTGGCCCTCTAAGAAAGCCATCTGCTTCGATCAGGGCACCCGGGCAGTATCACAGCCCATACACAAATCAAGTGTATTATTATTATTGGTTTCTTGAAAATGACCGAGTAATACACTGCCTTTTCTTAAAAAAATCAACAATATCATTCACATTTAGTTTGAATGTCAACTGAGATAAACATTACCTATATCAGTAAAAGGAGAACCTCATGGAACTTTTTTCGACACCATAGTGTACCTGAGACAATCGTCAACATCATTCTAGACCTTCCATAACAAACGCACAAGCAAATGTACGTCAAGACAGCCAATGTGGCGGAAGCCTCTGTACCAGTAAGCCTCAACATACACAAAGGAAAAAGCAAGATCTTCAAACACAACACGGAGAACGCCAACCTAACCCCACATGATAGAAAAATTCTGAAAGAGGTGGAATGTTTCACGTATCTGGGTAGCATCATCAATGAACAGGGAGTATCCGATGCATATATAAGGACAATGGTTGTCAAAACAAGGACAGCACTCCTACAGTTGAAGAACATATGTAACTCGAAACAATTATCAATCAATATCAAAGTCACAATCTTCGATGCGAACGTGGAGACAGTTCCAGTGCACAGAGCTGAAACTTGGAGAACTATCATAACCATCATCAAAAACGCACAAGTATTTATAAGCAGTTATCTACGCAAGATACTCAATGTCCGTTGATCGCATACTGTCAGCAACGGCCTACTATGTGAGGGAACAAACCAGCTTCCAACTGAAGAGGAAATTAGAAAAAGACGTTAGGAATGGATAGGAAATTACCAAATTGTATCAAGAGGCAAGCCCTAACTTGGAATCTTGAAGGGGAACATAAAGATGGAAGATCAAAGGATACACTGTGTCGAGAATCGGAAGCAGACATCAGAATGATGAATACCGACTGGAAAAGGTTGCCCATGACAGAGTTCCGTGGAGAATGCCCCCCACGAGGGGTAACAGGTGTAAGTACTCTCAGTAGACTCGAAATGAAATTAGCACACTAAGTACAACACGCGTTGATACAATTGTAGTAGCAATGATACTAAGGAAGATTAAACATTAAAAATATAGTTTGAGAATGAAATGAAACGTAAAGACATGCGTAATGGAATACTGTAAGTCATCAGCAAGAGGAGGGTGAAAAATGAATGCATTTTGATCATAAGTATGACTGATTCTTTGGTCATGTCACTCAATCTCTCCAATCAATGATCGCAGTTATTGAACAATGGGTTCGAATCCCGCGGGGGGCGGGATCGTGGGTGCGCACTACTGAGGAGTCCCATACTAGGACGAAACGGCCGTCCAGAGCTTCCAGGTTTTCTATGGTAGTCTAGCTTCAACTGACTCATGATTTCAACAATTGAAATTCCCCCAATATTTATTGGCTGTTTATTAAAACTTAAGTAGACAGTATTACTTAATGTGCAAAATTAATGAGCAACTAGACAAGAAAGTATTGCTAAATATATTCCCTAGAGAATTGCACCGCTTATAATGAAAGAATAATTATGAAAAAATACACTGTGATCATATGACTTCTTGATAATTAAAATTTTATGGCATTAAAATATTAACTGCAACTATTTCACAAATATTTAAAAAATCGACAATGTGTGTGTAATTAAAGTTAGTTCAGATATGTGAATTATCACGTAAATATCCTTGCTCAAAGTTTCAGTTATACATAATGAGGCGATTTTAGTAAGTGTAATATGAACTACGAAATCTGCTGTAATTTTCACAATCATCAAACACAAAAAAGGATACTTTATCTTTTTAAAATATTATAGTGAATGAAAACTGAAAATTACTATATTCGCAGATAAGCTTTTCAGCTGAATTATGTAAACTTTGACAACCGTTAGAAAGTGCTTTCAAAAAAATATATTATGACGGATTTATCGGTCACCCGTAAAATGTAGTATGGTTGGAGGTTTTGAGGAATTACTGAACTAGAATGAAGGTTATAGTTGTTCAATTTAGCTCGGTATTTATTTACTTTGATTTCTACACAGAGTCCATCAAAATGTTTCTTGGAGAGAGTGAGAAAAAAAGACCAAACAAAAGAATGGATTAACGTAGTAATGACCTCATATTACCACAAAAGAGCTTTGAAACAACTTAGAAGGATCCTAAACCTAACATTAATAACAGAGCATTTTTCCGAACGTACAATAGATACTCTTAGTTCTATGTTCATAGCGGTCAAAGACACAGTACTAAGAAAACAGAAGTGTGTCAGTGAAACCAAACACACTAACTACAGTGCTGTATACTATAGATAAGGCTTCGTAACAGTTAAATGTGAGGATGAAGGAGGGAAAACTATGTTCGAAGCATATTCCTAGATTTTAAGGAAACGTGAAAATAAATCGGTGATAGAGTTAAATGTTGTTGAAACATGACACATAATTGGACTTGGATGTAATGTTATACTTCAAGACTGTTTTGGTTCTCATAAGCAAAAAATAACAGCCGAAGCCTGGCATATTTGGGCAGACTCAAATAATTTAAATAGACGGGTTAGAGTCTAATTAGCTACATGGTAGTATGTACTGATTGATGAGTAAATAGAAATTTAATCTAGTACTATTACTTCATCGAATTTCATGTAGAAAACAACTATATAGACGAATCCATTTTAGCCAGTCGCGCATCGAACAACCAGCTAGTTTAACATGACGACACATTTATCTATTCTCAGTACACGTATTTACTTCAAAAATTTGATTAGT